CTTACATTTTCTGAAACCCAAACATGAAATCATATAAGTTTATGTGCAAAATTGCATATAGTATGCTGAGCGACACTTAAAAGGAATGAAACAGTAACAGTAGCTTATTTTCTGAAGCAATCTTGACACTAATGCTGAATTACAACTTGAAAACATCTAGCATTTTTACCTTTATGAGAAAAGGCTTTTTACATATTTAACATAATTCTAGGGAAAATAAACTAGAATTACGTATAAAGATATGTACACTGTAACCAAAGGGCATTTATATTCCCCTGTAGAATACTTACAATGATTTTATTGCCATTTTGTGTCATTTTCTAAAGGATATAAAATACAGCCAGTAAACAAACTAGACTTTAGATTTGAGCTGACAGCTGCTCTTTCAGAAGCAATATTCAGATATTTAATCTTAAGAATATTGAATAGTTTACAACCAAGTAAAGTATACTTTTGCAAAAATGGAAGGACTGCGTGCTTTGGCTTATAATTTTCACAGCCGTAATGATCAACAGAGCCACCACCACCGACACCCAGGATCCCTAAATTCCAGGGAATAAATCCCAATGTCGGCCCTGAGTTCAATTAACCCCTCAAGGAAATTAACCTATGTGCTTTACTTTTTCAAATTGAAAACATCCTTTCTCTAAAATGATGATGATTCAACCTATAACTTATACAATGTCATATTATTTCTAGTACTACTTTTGAACTCTATAGTTTCAATCAGGTGTAGCAATCTGAATTTCATTGAGGGATACTTCCACTTCATTTCGGAATCATCATGATTTGTATCAGGCTTCCAAATGTTGATGTCTTGCTGCAGTCAGTTAATTAGTGCTATGAATATATACATCTTAGTGTTAAGCGGGCAAATGAAATCAAAATTTACTACCAGAATTCTGTGTCTATTTTATTTTTTCTCCTTATCTCCCTAACCATATTTATAAAGGCCTCTCACTGAAACTTTATCAATATTGTGTATTTTCGGCAGCTAGATTTGATCCATCCCACCAGCTCAATGATAAATAAATTTCATTTTTCCAATTAGACACTTGAGAAGATACCTACCCTTATTAGCAACCAATTAACTATCTCTTTCTTAAGGCCTGTTTTAGCTAGAAAATGTCTTAAGAAACGCAGATGATTCTTTACATCAAAGAGGGCCAGTCCTGCTTCAAGCACAAGACAAGGGCTTATGTGTGCTATTGCCTCCACTGCTATGGGTGTCTCCATTGAGCATGGCCTTGGTACGGGCTGAAAGATATTTCTTGGTCTCTGCTGAGGTTATTTTCCAGTCACACTGTCTGGCAGTGACACAGCGGTGTTTCAAGCTTGTATTCTATTAGTTCACAATCATAAATCCCTCACACCATTGTGGTGAGGTCCTGAGTGGCTAATCAAGACTTCAGTGGCTTCGGCCTCAGCCACAGAGAGTGCTGGATCCAGTTTTCCTCCAAAAAAGTTGATTCTGAGTTTTTGCCCACTTTTGTTGTTGTTGTTGTTGTTATGGAGGGATAGAATTTGGAGATCTTTCCTCCGCAGTTTTCATTAATACCCTATATTACTTCTCAGAGGTAGATTCTGACAGTGAAATTACTAGGTTAAAGAATATGAGAATTTAAAAGGATGTTTATATGTGTGTGTATGTAATATCTGCTACATCTGTTTGTCTGTGTGTATCTGAATTGCCCTCCTGAAGTATGAACAAAGGTATAACCAAAACTACAGTGAATGGAAAACTTACCCAATATTTCGATAGTCTTTTTGGCTGCAGTCACCCAAACCAAACTATACTTCTATGACTTAATGAGATAATGCTATATTTAAAATATGAAACCACATAGATATCATCATTCACTGTCTTTTTCTACCTTTGAAAGAGACTACATGACTAGGTTTGTTTTTTGTTTATTTTCTAAGCATGACCCATTTAAATACAAGTTTGTCATAAGATTTCAGTCGTTAGTAATATTCATTTTCTAGCCACATTTCTTCCTATTAATCAATAATATCCATAAAACAAAATAAGTATGACTACAATGTTGTTTGTGTATTTTTAGCACACATCACTTAAATGACTACACAAACTAATACAAATTTAAAATGTTCTAAGATTTCTTTATAATCACATTGTAGTGATTAGAAAATGAACTTTTTCACACAGAGTTAACTTAGAAATGACAATCTGCTGGGTGTAGTGGCTCACGCTTGCAACCCCAGCACTTTGGGAGACTGAGGAGGGTGGATTGCTTGAGCCCGGGAGTTCAAGACCAACCTGGGCAACATCCCACCGCTGCAATAAATAAAAATATTAGCTAGATGTGTTGGTGCATGCCTGTAGTCCCAACTACTTGGGGGGCTGAGGTGGGAGGATCGCCTGAGCCTGGGGAGGTCGAGGCTGCAGTGAGCTGTGATTGTGCTGCACTCCAGCCCAGGTGACAGAGCAAGATCCTGTTTCAAAATTTTGAAAAAGAAATGACAATTAATAAATTTCCTTAGGAATTACAGTTGAGGGTAGTTATGTGTTTATTTCATCTTCCCCAAAGCTATGAAGCCAAATTTGCTAATTTGATGTATACCACACATACATACAAATCATTTTTTACAAGTAGACTTTTGATACATTATGGTGGCAGCTGTGATGAGGACAAGGGGGAATAATTATAGGTGTGGGAGCAAATTAGAAAAATCAGAGTAACATGGAAGGCTGTGTGATTCTAGTCCATGTCCCCGCTGATGTACAACCAGGTAGAAAAATGATTCCAGGTAATTCATCCAGATGAGAATTGGAAAGTTTCTGAAATCTCCAGCAAACAAAACCACTCTTGTTCCCGCTTCCTTCTTACCCAAGCCCTGTAGACTCTTTAAAGAATTCATATTAATAAAGAGCTACTACTGAGTAAGGAGACATCCCAACAGTTTGTTTTCTAGATAATAAAGTGATGATTAAGGTTGTTACTCTGAATCTAATTCTCAACAACAAAGAAAGATTGTAAATGACAAAAAACTGAGGAGAAAGTGACCTTCTCATTGTGGAACTCCTGGTGAAGGCTGAGCACCCTTTAATTTAATATTCACAAGGGCATTTCAGAAGTTCAGAGAACTGGCATGATGGATCTAAAAGGGAAGGCATTTCAAGAACCTTGGAAAATGCTCTAGATTTGTAACTCTGGCTTGCATTATTAGATAGTCTTGATAAGAAAGAAGAAAAGGCATCTAAATAAATACCGTGGTGCACAGAATGTTTCCCAATAAACTTAAGTTTTAAAAGATCACATACCAAGAAATAGAGAGGTGTATAATAAAGAGTAAATGCAAAAGATAGTTGATAAGAATGACAGACATGCCTGGAATTCCAGCACTTCGGGAGGCTGAGGTGGGCAGATTGCTTGAGCCCAGGTGTTTGAGACCAGCCTGGGCAACATAGCAAGACCCCATCTCTACAAAAAATACAAAAAATTAGCCAGGCATGGTGGCACATGCCTGTAGTCCCAGCTAATTTGGAGGCTGAGATGGGAGGATTGTTTAAGCCCAGGAGGCAGAAGTGGCAATGAATGGATATCATGCCACTGCACTCCAGCCTGGGTGACAGAGCCAGACTCTGTCTCAAATTAAAAAAAAAAAAAGAAAGACAAAGAATGACAGGGAAGCCAGTAATGGAAAAGGACTTTACAAGTTCAAATACCATAATATACTATCGATTCTTGTCTCAGGATAGATAAATTTTCCTCAACATTATTTGGTTGTATATATCAAACACCTAATGTATTTCTGCATAATCACAAAGGATATTTATTAACTCACATAAATGGGAAGTACCATAGCTATTCTGATGGGATTTTGACTCAAGTTAAAAAAAATTATCAAATCTCTTCTCTTCTTTTTTTCATCTACATTGGTTCATTCTTGAGAATGTTTTCTTCATAAAATGACGTTGATCTAGGCTTTTATGATTCCTCCTACTCGCTATCTTGGAAGATTTTCCTTTCCTGGTATTTCAGTCAGTACTCGTTTTCTCCATTTGCTCACCCTGGAGAGAGGCTTTATGATTGGCTGGCTTTAAGATTTATAGTCTCATCAGGAGATGGAAGAGTAGCTCTAATTCTGCACATGTACACCAGAACTTAAAGTATATTTAAAAAAAAAAAAAAAGAAAGAGAAAAATGGCTTCTGCAACCTCCAAAAAAGAAAAAGAGGCTTGTCAGGTAAGCCTATGTCCCCTTTGGTATCCAGAAAAATACATTCAATTTGCCAAAGTGCACGTAGAGGTGGCTCCTGCCTTTCTCATCTGAATGGCCTTTGGTACAAGAGGTCATAAATTCTGGGGGAAAACAATCCTTCAGCAGAATGCTTGGAAATGTTAGATACCTTCAAGAGGTAGGAGAGACGTATGAAGTCAGTGAAATTGGTGATTATTCTAAACAGTCCAGGAATAAACCTAAATTGTGTGTGACAAGGGAAGCAGGATGTTGGCATGGCTGTTCGTTGTCTCAAGTATAGTCTTGTATAGACCGAGAGCTTCCTTAGGCACAGTGAGTTCCTACTAAAAGGAATGTTATCCCTTATTTTCCCCAGTTTTTTATTTCTATGCATTTAATCAAACAATAGTTATTCAAGGCACAAAAGAAAATTCCAGTCTTGTTTTTGATTTTAGATTTCAGAAGAATTAGAAAAAAATAACTTTTCAAACATATTTGAATTGTTAATTATAATCCTATTTTCTATACTACTAAATATATTTATACGAATATTATGATATTGGACAGAGTTGCTATAACATTACTGTAAATGTCAGAAGTGAAACTCAACCATAAAATCTAAATGATAAGCTTCTGTTATACTGTGGAATTAGGATAATCATAAGGCATTTCAGGGGACTTCCAAGCTACAATTCCAACAGAAAAATAGGAAAGAATTAACAGTTGTTGTTTATTCCACCTAAATATTTCTTTGAAACATCATTAATAAGCATGTGCCCATTTGTCACAACTTTTCAGGTGTTTGGTGATATCAGTGGCTTAAAGCTCGTCCACAGTGAAGTGATCACAGCTATTCAGGAGCATATAAGTGAAATGGACAGCATCCTGGAAGACTCGTTTGACATTTAATTGAGAGACATGAAAAGAACCCATTAAAATAAAAAGGTATTTATTTGCTGATTAAATATTTAGCTCATTACTATGAATGAGTGCATCAACTGTGAAGGAGCCACGAAGTGCTACCACTTTCTTCTTGTTTTTCTAACGCTCCATGTTGCACAACTCATGGTGAGAAGACTAAGTTCAACTTCCTTTTCAACCCTACTGCCTTGTGATATGTAGTTGACTAAAAGTCAATAATGGGTATTGGAAAGAACACCTAGAAGTCAAGGTCATTGCAAATATGGTTTCAGAGAGAGGAGAAACCATCTTAATCTTTGCTAGTTTAGAGAGCACTATTTGGCTACTCTGGAAGTTGAAAAGGGCAGGACGCCATTTTTAACATTGTTTCACAGTGGTATTCTTTCATGAAGAGGAAAACAGAGGAATGGCTAAAAAATAGTAAGGTCAAGTCTAAATAAATTCCCCCTCCTCTTCATTTAGCTTAAAAATTCACTTTTTTTTTCCTAGAAGGAACTTAAAGAAAAATGAAAGGAATTAAATAACAACAAAAAATCAGGTCACTTAAATGAGTTCATTCGTGTAGTATAACTTTTGTATTCTAGGATAACAACCGCCAAGCCCAAACTGGCTGGCTCAGATTTGGGCTGCTCCAAATCACAATTCTTTGTAAAGGGTTCAAAGTAGCACAGCCCCCTTTCTGGTCCTCATATAATCTCTTTCCTTTCCCCTTTACTCACTTGCTTTCCTCTCTGTCAACTGAAGATCAGGTATCAGATAATCACAAAGCGACAGTGAACCATAAGAGGGTTCAATGGTCATAAAAAGTCCAGCATCATTAAGAATCTTTTGTCCACTGTATAAGGGACATCTCAGCTCCCTGACCTTCCTCCGCACATTTAAGGGAGGATGAGAAGTGTTTTTTCAGTCGTAGCTCTCAAACAGAAGGCAGTGCTTATTAGAAGGGTCAAAATAGATACCAATAATTAGAGAACATGTGAATGCATCCAATCCTAGTGATTTTTCAATTCCCAGCTTTAGTCATTGTCTATTATGATATTGTCAGTGTAACATAAGAAGTTTGCATTAAAGATTACACAGTGTGTTCCCTCTGTTGGCAGAAATTATCAAACATATATACTATCAACACTTTCTATCCTCTATGGCTATTACTGAAGAACAATCAATGTACATTAGTGTCTCTGTCAACAGATTTTAACTTTACAGAAACTAATAAATATTCCAAACATGTTTTAATAGTTTAAATTATTGACTGGACACAGTAGCTCACGCCTGTAATCCCAGCACTTTGGGAGGCCAAGGAGGATCATGAGGTCAGGAGATTGAGACCATCCTGGTTAACATTGTGAAACCCCGTTTCTACTAAAAATACAACAAATTAGCCCAGCGTGGTGGTGGGCACCTGTAGTCCCAGCTACACGGGAGGCTAAGGGAGGAGAATCGCTTGAACCTGGGAGGCAGAGGTTGCAGTGAGCCGAGATCATACCAGCCTGGGCAACAGAGTGAGACTCCGTCTCAAAAAAAAAAAAAAGTTTAAATTATCACATCTGCTCACCTCAGACAACTAGAATCTTCCTTCAGATACTTAAATGTCGCTATTACTGATTTCCTTCCTTCCTCTCCTCCACTCTTGAAAATATTAATACTCATATCTCTGATCACCATATATTTACCTCTACTTTTACTTAACACAGCTGTTAAGTAAAATTAACTACATACTTTTGTTTCCCATTACAGCATGAGTTAACCTGTTAACAGAGAACTTTAAAAATGCATCTTCACATGAACAGAACTTGGAATAGTGTTTGGTACTATGAGGGAGCTTAGTAAACATCTGATGTCGGAAAGATGGCATGAAGGAGGCCTAACAATAGCATTGGGGCTGGTTCTTTGTTCTGCTCTTATTTACAGTATAAAGAAGTCCACACAAAGAAACAAAGAAAAAAGGGGGCTAGATATATTAAAACAAATTCTCTGATAGACCTATATCAGCACAAAATATTCTGAGAAGGAACAACTGTATATATAGAAGCAGATTTCTGCATCTTATGCTGTATTTCACTAAATTCTTAAATCAAGTCAGTAAATCAAAAGTCCTGTAGTAAATTTTTAGCTGCCATTTGCTTAACTGAATTAAAGTAAATATCTGCCAATTTTGCAGGTCTATCATTTCTATTTATAATTTCCTCACTAAAATTTAAGGCCTGCGAAGGCAGGGATCATTGTCTACTTTATTTAATGTTACCTCCCCAGTTTCTAATGCTGTACTGAATTAATAAGTGCTCAGTATATTTTTGTTGAATGAAAGAATAAACGGACATGTCACATTTCACTTAAATTTATGTTTCATGTGCTCAATGAATGAATTGAATGAGCGATGCAGAAATCAGCAATCAATCCACTGATACTTTTCCTTTTACGGGTTTCCTTTAGGAAATTGGTGGCTCCAGTGGAAGGATGAGTAAAGAAAAGCAATATTTTCTTCACCTGAAGAATGCCCATGGCCACAGTATATTTTCTAATCCGAGGCATCTTCTACTACATTATTGCAAAGCATGAGTTCAATATGCTAAAATACAAGTCTGCAGAGTTTATTTTGTTACTGTTACTGATTTTCTATATTTGTTTTCCCTGCCATTGAACTTCTCTTACTGGGCACTAAGTACTAAGTAACAGGTTCAACACTTGAGTTTGTTTACATCTTTTATAACATTATATGTACACATAGGTGTTTGGTGTGTAGAAATTTACTGACCTGTGTTTTCATGAATCCTCTGTTTTTGTTGAAAAGGACCATTCCGAGGTTCAGGGCTCAGTGTTATCACCCAGTTCAATGTTGAAATAAGATTTGGCACAATCTACACCTGAAGTAAATACTATGTTTGTACTGGCATTGAAAGAAACTATTTAATTTAGACTTTTTTGATGTACATGTATGCATAGTTTCTTAAGAAGAATAGACAGATAGCCAGGCGCGGTGGCTCAAGCCTGTAATCCCAGCACTTTGGGAGGCTGAGGCGGGCGGATCACGAGGTCAGGAGATCGAGACTATCCTGGCTAACACGGTGAAACCCCGTCTCTACTAAAAATACAAAAAATTAGCCGGGCGTGGTGGTGGGCACCTGTAGTCCTAGTGGGAGCTGAGGCAGGAGAATGGTGTGAACCCAGGAGGCGGAGCTTGCAGTGAGCTGAGATCGTGCACTGCACTCCAGCCTGGGCGACAGAGTGAGACTCCGTCTCAAAAAAAAAAAAAAAAAAAAAAAAAAGAAAGAATGAATGAAAGAAAAATAGGGACAGATAAAAGAAACTTTATTCCCATAAATCAATTTCTCTCATTTTCTCTGACTCTTTATGGACCGCAAATAATAATTCCATGGATAAGGAGAGCTGGGTAAAGTCTTTGTAAACAGATTCTCTGTAAGAACTGAGTTCTAATGTAAGAGGCGCCAGTACAATGTCCCCTTAGGAGAGTACATGTGTTTACACACAGTACAAAGTATTATTTCAAAATTCAGAACAGGTTTCTGCGGGACTACATATCTGTGAATTTAGTCACCAGTCTTTTTCAGTCTATTGAGGATAATTTATAATACTAATAATTATTTTTAAGGCCTCTATTAGTAAAACAATATCAAAAAACTCATGTGTATATTCTCAGTGATTTCATTGGTAACTTCATCTCTAGTATTATAGTTGGTTGCTAATTGACTTGTGTCATTCACATTGACATTGCTCTTCCTACAAAGTAATATACACTAGAAAATACGATTGTAATTGAAAACTGTAAATAAAAAATCCTTTTAATAGATTATTTTTGCTAGTACCTACTGTGCTCTTATTGTCTAAATAAATTATCCATTTGGAATGCAATTCTATTAAGGATAAAAATATAAATAAGAAATTAAAATTTTAAATGTTTGCTATAAATTGAAAAGTGAGATCTAGTAAATATTTCTTGTTTTAAGTTCAATGACAATAGATAGATTATATTAAGTGTCAGTTAAGCAAGTGGATGAAAAATGAGTGATTTTCATCCTTCAGTTAAGTATGGTGCTAAGTGGTATGTTGCTAGCATTAAAAGCAAATTACTTATCACTTCAATAATCACAGCATGAGAACATTCTATTGGAAGCTGTATTTCCAGTCTATCTGGGTCCTCAGTTTTATTAAATAAATCAACTGATAATGCTTGGATAAGCAGAAGGAAACGCTTTTATGACACTGTGGCATTTCTGTTTTATAAGTACTTATTCAAGACGTGTCCAAAATGGTCTTTTCTATACATTTTAGTCACTAACAATGCATACACACACACGTGCACGCTCTATATACATATACACATATGTTTACACATACATATACACATATATACACACACACAAACTACACACACACACGTATACATATATATAAGCATGTACATCCACACAAGTTCTTGGGTCCAGCCATCTATGTGAAGCACAAATCTCTTTTACTACATCACTTCTAGTTGGCCATCTTGCTCAATCTTAAACACCTCTAGTGGTGGGAAAAAATTGTCCTTTCAAATGAGAACTCTTACAACTGGGGAATTCTTCCAATCGTTTGAAAATATCTAATACCAATTTGGAGATTCTCCTAAGAACTTGCTTAGTATAACGGTGAAGAGCCCTGGCAAACGATAAGTCCTAAATAGCTGGTGATTGAGTGAAATAAGGTAAACCTAATCTTTTATAAAAATGCATTTTTTTTTCTTTTGAATACAGTGCATTTTATATAGATTTTCTCTTTTGTCACTGGTGAGGAGTGAGGGGACAGGGAGAACAGATATACTCAGGGATGAAGTAGGTGATGCTAGGTTCTGCATCCAGGAATCCAGGAAAAGTTCCATTACTCATTACTTCACACACACACAAAAAAATTATTGTTTTCTTACATACTCTACAAGTGCCTGAAATGCTTTAAATAGGACCAGATATATGTAATATGCACTGATACACTGGTCTGTG